ATATTTATTGTATCAGTGACCATTTATAAATAGTTTCTCAGTATTATATTTATTGTATCAGTGACCATTTATAAATAGTTTCTCAGTATTATATTTATTGTATCAGTGACCATTTATAAATAGTTTCTCAGTATTATATTTATTGTATCAGTGACCATTTATAAATAGTTTCTCAGTATTATATTTATTGTATCAGTGACCATTTATAAATAGTTTCTCAGTATTATATTTATTGTATCAGTGACCATTTATAAATAGTTTCTCAGTATTATATTTATTGTATCAGTGACCATTTATAAATAGTTTCTCAGTATTATATTTATTGTATCAGTGACCATTTATAAATAGTTTCTCAGTATTATATTTATTGTATCAGTGACCATTTATAAATAGTTTCTCAGTATTATATTTATTGTATCACTGACCATTTATAAATACTTTCTCAGTATTATATTTATTGTATCAGTGACCATTTATAAATACTTTCTCAGTATTATATTTATTGTATCACTGACCATTTATAAATACTTTCTCAGTATTATATTTATTGTATCAGTGACCATTTATAAATACTTTCTCAGTATTATATTTATTGTATCAGTGACCATTTATAAATAGTTTCTCAGTATTATATTTATTGTATCAGTGACCATTTATAAATAGTTTCTCAGTATTATATTTATTGTATCAGTGACCATTTATAAATAGTTTCTCAGTATTATATTTATTGTATCAGTGACCATTTATAAATACTTTCTCAGTATTATATTTATTGTATCAGTGACCATTTATAAACAGTTTGTCAGTATTATATTTATCGTATCAGTGACCATTTATAAATACTTTCTCAGTATTATATTTATTGTATCAGTGACCATTTATAAATACTTTCTCAGTATTATATTTATTGTATCAGTGACCATTTATAAATAGTTTCTGTCGCATATGCTACTCTTTAAAGAGTAGTTCCAGTTTCACACAAATATTTTCATATTCAGAGTTTATGACAAATTTATGATAAATCTCAATGGAAAATTTTAGCTGTAAAAGGATTCCAGAAAGCAATGTCAATGCACATCAAAATGTAATGTTCACAATCCATAAAACAATAACAATTAAAACTTCACTTTACGTGCTTTACGAAACGGAACCGTAAATGTCATCAAGTCACTTTTCTTCAAATTTTCCAGTCGCTCTTTCTCAAGTTTCTCCCTTCTCAGCGACAAAATGTGTTTGATTTCAGAAAAGTCTATCAGTTGTGCTCTAGAAACAGATTTCTCGTTATTCTTTTGTGGTTTGATCACATTCAGTTTTTGACTTCCATTCATCGAGTATCTAACTGACGATTTATTTTCTTTGAGACGTTTATAAAGTTGATTTATAAACATATATTTGTCACCTCTCAAAACAGTGTTCTCGGTGAAATTCAGGGTTGCGCTGTTCATGGGTAAAAGAGTCGCTTGGTCATTCAACGAGGTTCGTTTTTTTCGCAAGTTCGTCACATCTTCCAGCATAATTTGATGACTGTTGTCTTTCGGTATCACACCGAACGAAGGTTTCATTTGGAAACCTAAAGACGATTTGGAAAGTCTTAAATTGTCAATATGCTCATGCTCGGATATGGTTGCAAAACAACAAGATTCTGGTCGGTAGATTATGCGACGAATCTTGCTCTCTGGTCGCAGGTATTTTTCTGGTGGTATATCACTAAACACAGCTTTTCTTACTCCAGATTCACGTCTTAAAAGTCTTGGAGAACAATTATTGCCTGCGGAGTCCGAGTCTGTTTCTGTATCAGGATTATGCCTTCTGGCCCATTTGTCGTAATAATCATGAGTAACTGATGTTGGGCGATCTGGTTCTAACTGCTCTCTCTTGGTTAAAAGTTTCACATCCCGACAGGAACTTCGAATTTTGATTCCGTTGATATTCATGCTGAAAATGCCATTATCTTGTAGTTTGCATTGTCGTATAGATTGGTACTTTGATCCAAACTTTTGTCAATTTATATAAGGAAGTATTCGTTTATTACAGTTTTGAATTCAAAACACGATGCATAAGAATCATTTTTAATCCAATACTTTGAAACAATTGCGTCACTAACTGATTTTTTTAAGACACGAAACAACTATCCGTGTTTATTATCCACAGAGTTATAATTCTAGTCACCAAACTAATCGAATTCATATATTATATCGGCATTTGATACCAAATTACTCACTAGGTTCATATCAAAGGTGTGTCGTTTTGACGTTGCCTATATAAGTTGAAGTAGATATTATCAAATATAAAAATCTCAAGCTAGCCAACAGGTCTACTATTGGTTTTATAATAAGATTATCCTATTATATCAATAAAAATATCCAGACTTGTATTGGATTAAAGATCACTGATACTTAAAGCCACTGTAAACGAAGATTTTAGGCTTACTTTGGAATAGATTATGCCCTGGAAATGACTTTAAAATGAGTCTATCGTTGGAAAACTTTTCAATCAAATGAATTTTGTCCCCACGACAGTTTCTTTTTTAGAAAATCAAATCGTGACGTCATTGCGGGTGTAAACAAATCCGTATGCGATACATACGCTACTGGTGTTTGCTATGTTGTTAGGGCACTTTAAGACTCATGAGTTCTGGTATCGATCCCACACGATTCAAGTCTGATTCAAAATATATAGTGATACCCATAGTTTTTTTCAACACAACCGAAACTATTACATATTTATACCGTGTTTCTCAGTAACAGACAAACCTCGTATGGAGGAACCAGGCAATAAATATCCCTGATGTCATGCGTTTTCCAAACACGATTTTACATAGTCATTTTGACGATTTGTTTTGCAAATATGAACACAAGAATAAAAGTTTTGAATGTTATATCAGTACGGACTTGGCCCGCCCCTCCCCCACCCTCCAACACTTTCAAAGTTTTTAACAATTTACATGGAGAAAGAACAGCCTGTGGGCCCCCTAGAAAATTTTGTGTGCCCTGCTAGGTCCCCTCATCTAATCTTTCCTAGAAACACGTAGCATCCATGTTGCGTAACAAATTAATCGCCGAAATATGTGCCTGCGGTCATCTGAGTGCGTGTTGGGTTCGAAACTTATTACGCAAAAGTGGCGATTGCATCATTAGAAAGGCAGTCAGTAACATCCCCCAGCAATCTCGATCCTGCCAATATCACGATCATTATATCATGCAACTTTCCCCCCATCTTCGACCACCAATCACAAGCGTTTTTTTTTATCCCGAGATGCTCAATCTCTATCTCAACTAAAGGCATCTGCTCTCAAGAAGCGACTATCCTGCCCTGTTCCTGTTCAGTCAGTTTGTCCCACTGACCCCGGTACACCTCTACCCTAAGAGAATCCCAAATAGCATAATCCATTGGATAACAGTCTGGGTATTGGGGCGGCACGTCATTCTTGTCAATTAATTCTGGTGTGACCTCCTCCAGATATGCTTGGGAAACCTTGCCAGTACGTAATGGTGCCCCGTCTTGTTGGGATGGAAAAAAACGATTGCGATTGGTGGTTGAAGAAAATGGGTGGCACATTGAACACAGGTTGAAATAGGTATTTGAAATAGGTTTTACATGCTATTTTGTTGGGGGCAGTTCTTGTACAACTTTTATCCGACAACGATATCTTGAAGTATAACTGTGAGAATTTTGAAACAAATCAGTTTACCATGCAACAGCTGAGTTATTATAAACCCATTGAACTTTTCGAGACACCCGATATACAGTGAGAAAAACAATGTCAGTTTGTAACAAATTTATAGCCTAATAGCAATTACAGACGAGTTTTCCAACGAGATAATCCGGATTAACGGAAATAAATCGTTAGAAACGTCGATCTGAAAGTAAAGTATTATTATCTGATGATATCGTGGTCCGTTAATCAGGATTGTAGTGTCACGTGGCCTAATCTGGATTAAAGAAACTGTTATTCACTTTATGTTTTGGAGTTCATAAACAAGGGACACAGATTTTGATCAGCAAAATGGTGGTAAGAAATTTTAGGTAACATTTTCATGGTAGTGCAAACCAGTTTCATATCTTATATCTTCCATATCTCGTCTAAATAATTGCTTTACCAGCTGATATTTCTTAATTTTGGCCGTCAGTATCTCTTTCCAGGATTTGAATCCGACGCTCGGTGGGTATGCAATAATATAAAAAAGATGAGTTAGAGGGTCTCGTTATTTAGGTAGATTTCTCTTTCTCAAAATTCAAATAGTCTGGAAAATAAGACACAACAAAACTTGGTTCCAAGTCAAAATGACACTTCCGGTTAAAAACCTCTGGAATTGCAGGAACCATAGGCATTAGAATTGAAATGTCCCTAATAGAAGTCAAGGGAGTCCCCGTTACACATACAAAAGTTAGAAAACCTCTTTACAATCCCTTTAATATTAATTAGTCTCATTTAATGAACTCAATGAGTTGGTACTTTCCTTTCTGGAGGGTCTGCTTGAAGACTCATTTCTAGCTGTTAAATATTGATATCTTCTTTTCTAGTTCCCAAGCAATCACCCAAAAATGCATGCCTGTGTCGACTCTTTGTACACTATCGATGGTGATACAGACAAGAGTAAGATCATGGACATCATTAGAGTCATGAAAGGTGCTCTGAGCGTCTCGAAAAGTAAAACCGGTGATGTCATTTACAGAAGCAACAAAAACGAAGTGAAGATATTGGACAGACAACTAGCCAAAGTGGATAAAGATGTAGTAAGAGCAAAAACAAACATTGAATGTCAAAAGCGGGATGTCCTGCGCAAATGGTCACTAGTGTTCGGAAATCAGAAAACGCTTTGTGAATCGATCAAATCTTTTGATGAAATGATTAACAGTGCATTGGAAAAACAGCTATCAGAAACAGAAGAACGTTCTAATTTAGTCGAGCAGAGCCTGAACTCCTACAGAGAAGAAGAAGCTCCCAACGATAGCGGCCATTGGGGAAAACTCAACCTTAAGTCCAATCGCCGACAATCACAAGTAGCTAAACCTAGTTCCCATTTCGGCAAAACTCTTTCAATGCCTGTTCTTGTAAATCCAAATGAATCGAAATCAAAAGCAGTTCCAAGGGTATCTGATTCTACGGTTCCTGCAAGCTTACCAAAAATCAATACCGGTGGTAGTTTCTTTTCTAATATTGTGGACCACACGACAAAGCGTCACAAAAGACACCAAGAGGCGGCAAATAAGAAGGGCGAATTTCCCGACTTCAGTAGATCGACAATGGAATCCTACTTTGATGAACAGAAACAACTTCACGAAGAACTCATGACCAGAAACAGTCTAAATCGTTTAAAATCTAACATCGATGGTGGTCACAACTTTTATAAACTTCGAATTCGAACCAAATTACCCGAAGAACCAACACTTTTGATCGAATCAATTGAGACTGATCGTACAAGAACCAAGTCGTTTCGTACCCAAAGGAACAAAACCAGACGCCCTCTGTCTGTTGAGAAAGGCAGGAATATGGACAATCTTGACGAAGAAGTTTCGTTTTCTAAAAACCACGAAGTTGAAAGAGCAAATACTTATGTTTGAGATCAGAACATTGGTGTGCACTGTGTAGATAAATTTATTCATAATTTGTTAATAAAATTTGTTTCTTTTAAATACTATTTGTGTTTAACACATCAGGGTTTGAGAGCATCAGTGTTTGCAAGAGCGTCTTTTTTAAGATGTTTCAATACTAGTAGCGGTACTATAGTACTGGTAAAGATTAACCGTAATGCCAAAGTTCATGACAGGGGAACCCGGTTTGAAAATTGACATAATGAATTTTTTGTTACGTAAAAACTCTCTTCGACAAGGTTATTTCTCTTCGAAATATTGAATTGTACATTAAAACTTCTATGGTCGACATCAATATGAAGTTCTGCTCGGACTGTTGGCATATAAATTTTATATATTCACTGGAGTAATCTTATGCCGGTGTTTGTGGTCACTTTCGCTTCAGTCGATTCTTATTTGAACACTCTTGAGATTTCTTCTCGCGCCACACACAAATGTCAGAAAAATCACATTTCCCACACTTCCAAGCCTCTTCAATGTCTACTCCAAGAACTTCACGCTCTCCTTTCCAGAATTTCACATAATGACCTAAAAGACTTTCGAGTTCTGCGTCATCATAATCCACAGAGGAATGAAATAAAGTTTCTTTGCTTTCCTGATGTACATATTCTATCTCTAATTGGTTAATACAAGTTAAAGCCTGGAATTTCTGGAACAAATAATCCAAAAGCTGGTTAAGATTTTTGAAATCTATCAAATGCTTTTCGAGTTCTTTGGTAACGTCATCACTAAACTCCCGACTAAGATCGACTCGCAAATGTTTGGATACGGTTTCCTTAGATAATTGTCCTTTTACTAAATCATCAAATAAATTCTTGTACAGCATCACTTGCAGCTTGTGTTGAGATTTTTGGGCTTTGCTTGGCGGTGATTTGTAAGTTTTGGTTTTCAGTTCCGATAATGTGACCGTATACAATTCTAGATCAAAACGCAGCTCGTCGATCAAACCCACAAAAAACACACCATTTTCATATGGAGCTCCAAATATTGGAACTTCCCTAGCCAAACAGACACCATTTAAAAAACCTTGAACAGTACCCAATAAATTCAGGACCTTGACCGCCCAAATGTCCTCATTTGATGTTACTTTTACTGGTACTGGTTCATGAACCGCCAATTCTGTAACGATAGAAATAATAAAACTACTTCAAAGATAGCCTTGAGAAGTAAGGTGACATACGCACACCAGCAGCTTTGATTGTAAGTTCAAATCATTGTAGCCCGTAGAGTGAGCACGACGGACGGACGGACGACAATATGCTTCCATACATGGTGTGAGAATATAAAAATCAAAAGAATCCATGAAGAATTATTGCTTGAAGAGTGAGCAAAATGTGCACTTTATTGATAATGTAGTGAATAAACTAGGTTGGAAATAAAATTTTGGTAAAAAATTATCAGATCATCACGGAAATCAATAGGGATCATCTTCATAATGACACTGACATTGACCCACAAAATAAAAAGCAAAAGAATACATAAAGAATTGACTGTAGAGTGAGCACGAGCCAAATTGAACGGACGGATCGACGGGGCGAATGATGTGGGCGTATAAAAATATATTCAACTAAATAGTGAACAAAGGTTTTCTTGTCTATTTATGTCTAGAGATATTCAAAGATGGATCGTGTAGTTCCAGAAAAAACGTGACCAGATTATGACAATCATCAATAATACCTTAAATGGTATTTTTAAGAAGATAAACTGTTATCTCTCTGATTCGAAGTATTTTACCTGTGTACATTTATATTGACGATATTATCGCAAATACCATTTGTAAGTGTGATACACCTTCATTTTTTGGACATTAATTATAAAGCATTGTAACCACAGACGAGAGTGGAATTGGAATGGCGTAAATGGAAGCTATCGGTGTTCTCGATACACGCTGTTTTGCCTACTTTTCGACTAAGACTTGTTGATGTTATATTTGAAGTTCTGACAGTGAGATTTCTATGACAGGACTGCTATATTATGTCAATTGTCAATTATTATCATAATATAGAGTTTCGGTCTAGTTTACCTCTAGCTAAATGAAGACTGGAGCCTTCTTTCATTGAAGGCTTATCTTCCACCATGACACCGGGTACAGTGAACGAATAATATAACTGTTGTTCGCACCAGTTCTGTTTGGTCAGATCTGATACCCAAAGATACCCGGGTCTGAAGCGCTGTAAAGGCGTCTTAAAGTCTTCTTTTGCTCCCTCATCCGGCTCGCCTGGGGTTTGCGTCTCATCTGTTTTCTTTTTCAATAACTCTTCTTTTTCTTGAAATAAACAAAAGACATGGATAGCCTTCGGCCGAAATACGTATCTGTGTCATTGTGTTTGTGTATCCGTAAATTGTTCCAAAATGCATTAAAAATTATGATGTGATACTACTAGTACTACACTTACAGTTACACAAAAGGGCCCAAGGGTATAATTAAGGATAAATTAGTCTACTTCGCAAAGAAATATGTTGTTGTCTACATTAGAACTGAAAGTCAAAAATAATTTTTTATTTCATAAAAAGACGGTACGTAAAGCTCAATTTGCGTATTAACTGCAATATGGGGGCGATTTGTCCTGGATAACAGTGGTTGTCTGTGTCCAATAAATGAAGGGAAATAACTCTCGTTTGTTTACACTTCGAATTGGTGAATTGTAGACCCATCTTTTTCTTGGCAAACGGCTATTCAGCAAAAAACAAGTCAATATTCTCACCCACATTATCACAAAATGCAAGTATATCTTCGTCCAGTTCATCGTCCCAATATTGATGTTCATCAATGGTTGTGGAGATTTGGTGATTTCTATTACTTTCGTTATTATTTTTCTCTTCGATATCCGCCATTTTTTGTTTTCGTCTTTCATCTCATTTGGGTCATGGGCATATTAAAAATCGAAAACAAAAGCATTGAAATTTATATATTGTCTTTGATTCTATTAAAGACAATGTCATTTGGGTTCATTTTGCAACGAAAATCCTATAAATTTGTCGTATTAAACATTTCCAATCAGGGACTATATTTTTGGGCTGTAGGATATTTCTCTAAAATGGTCTGTTGATAGGCAGGTGTAAACAAGATCAATCATGGGTGCTAAAGTATGGCTTTAATTTATTGCTACTGTTTATATTGATATCCACATTAGAGATTGGTTTTATGTGTTTTTTGTAATATTAATTTGTGCTGATCATTGATCGTAAAGCATTATTCAAAGGCTGAAAACAACCTTTAATAAATAGGTCTATCCTTTGCATTTAATTTCACATAATAAAATTGTGTACTGTAGTAGGCCTACTGTATGTGAGATTAATGACAATCTATTTCATATTTTCTATTTCTATTCCCATACATTTTCTTGAGCAAAAAGTGGAGAAATGAGAAATTCTAGTTTTTATGTCAAGATTTCAATTCTGTGGACTTAATTCCTTGCTCAAATATTTTTTTACTGACAATGGTAGTAGAGTATGGACACAAGAAACGCTTATAATGTTATTTTTTTCTCTTCAGTAGTCACCTAAAGCCGGTATGCTGATTGTCCAACACCAATGCCATCTGCAGACCATAAATCCTCTAAAACCTCCAATGGTAAAAGAGGGTCCTTAACAGGAGAGAAGAGCAGGAAAACCTCTCCAAAAAAGAAGAGGAAGTCCAGTAAGAAGTCAACTTCAAAGAGTGAATCTTGTCAGAATAAAGAAGATATCTTAGAAGTTGAGGGGCTTTCATTTCCGAAAGGTAAAAAGACATAATTCTTTAAAATACTGATTTTAAGTTTAGAAATAGAACGCACCAGCACCAAGATTGGAACACTCTGACTTTCCCTTGATAATAGTTCCATTATGTAATAGGGAATTCTGTTGATAATAGTTCCATTCTTTGATAGGAATTTCCCTAAATAATTGTTCGATTCAGTAATATGGATTTCCCTTGATAAAAGTTCCCTTCTTTGATAGAGATTTCTGTTGATAATAGTTCCATTCTTTGATGGGGATTTCTGTTCATAATAGTTCCATTCTTTGATGGGGATTTCTGTTTATAATAGTTCCATTCTTTGATAGGGATATCTGTTGATAATAGTTCCATTCTTTGATAGGGATTTCTGTTGATAATAGTTCCATTCTTTGATAGGGATATCTGTTGATAATAGTTCCATTCTTTGATAGGGATTTCTGTTGATAATAGTTCCATTCTTTGATAGGGATATCTGTTGATAATAGTTCCATTCTTTGATAGGGATTTCTGTTGATAATAGTTTCATTCTTTGATAGGGATTTCTGTTGATAATAGTTCCATTCTTTGATAGGGATTTCTGTTGATAATAGTTTCATTCTGTAAGTAGGAGATCCTTTGAAAAAATGAAATGAAATTTTTTAATTTTTTTATTGTAGAAGGAGATGATTCTGATTCTTCAACTAATAAAACACCATTGTTGCCAAAACTCTCATCATCAGATGTAACAGTCAACTCTGAAAGCACAGGTCGAGTGATATCTTCAAACAGTATTGGAACCAATTCTCCAGGAACTAGGCAAATAGATCCTTCACAGTCACAAACAAAATCAGACAGTTCATCGACTACCCTTGAAAATCTTAGTTCGAAATTATCAAATATTAGTTTGAAGTCAAAATCTTCAAAATCAAAGACAAAATCTGGAAGTTCTAAGAAAGAAAACAGTGCTAAAAATCCCAATAGAAAAACCTCTGATGTGAATTCATCAAAATCGATTGTGATGCCAAATATCGTAGAGACACCTTCTCATCCAGCACCTGTGATTAATGAAAGCATTCGATGGGAAAATGAACTGGATACTCTTGATTCAGAAAGGGAGAGAATTCATATTTACAAAATAAATCGAAGGAAGCGCTACTTAGCTGCTGCTCAAGATAAAGGATTAGGTTGGGTCAAACAGTATGGAGTGAACGGGTTTCCTATCAATGATGAGTGTGGCTTATTAGATTCTTCGAGACGAGAATTGGCTGTTATTCCAGACTACACTTCTGCTCAGGTTGTAAGAAATAGTCAAAGTCATGGTATAGTTAATGGTGAGGGAAAAGCTGTATCATGTGGCTATTAGTCTCACTGTATCAGACAGATATTAAAATGTGTGTAAGATTCATGTTACCCATTTGTTGATTGAAAAATAGTTAGATAACATGACTTAAATTTGACCTTTGAACCTATAAGGTGATTTGTGAGTTGCATCTCCAACTAAATCCTATAAGCCTATTAAAATCCAAGAAAGAGCCTATTCACTATATATATACTTTAAAATGTATTTATGAATCAATTTAAACTTTTTTTTCTTTACCTTTCGGAAGTCAGTCACTCAGTATTAGACTGAATTTGAGCCAAAAAATATTAATTTTAAATTGAGACAAGATAACTTAGTATTATGTGTTTGTGTTAAGGTTCATTTGTAATATTTTATGAAGTGTGTGATTCTGTAACAAAACGTTATTCTGTAGTTATTATTTGTCTTTTTTTTTTGTTGATTTTCACCCTATGAAGAGCTAGATTGTATATATGAGGCTTATAGGAGGTGGGTCCAAGGGTACAAATTTTTATATGCTGGACACTTATTGGAAAAAGGGGACCCCCAAAATGGCAAACCTGCCCCTATAAAGAGAGAGCAATTGTTCTAGATTATCTCTGTACAACAGAACTGTCACCAATGTTACATTGCCAACCTATAATCTGTGATATGATTTGAATAAGAGTATGAATATAATAGTATTTATTTATCAAGTTTAATATATTATGTTTATTAAATGTCTCCTATGAATTATTATTTATTTTTTGTTTAACTGTTTCAATCTATAAATTATTTATTTTTTGTTTAACTATTTTAATCTATAAATTATTTATTTTTTGTTTAACTGTTTCAATCTATAAATTATTTATTTTTTGTTTAACTATTTCAATCTATAAATTAATTATTTTTTGTTTAACTATTTCAATCTATAAATTATTTATTTTTTGTTTAGCTATTTCAATCTATAAATTATTTATTTTTTGTTTAGCTATTTCAATCTATAAATTATTTATTTTTTGTTCAGCTATTTCAATCTATAAGTTATTTATTTTTTGTTTAGCTATTTCAATCTATAAATTATTTATTTTTTGTTTAGCTATTTCAATCTATAAATTATTTATTTTTTGTTTAGCTATTTCAATCTATAAATTATTTATTTTTTGTTAAGCTATTTCAATCTATAAATTATTTATTTTTTGTTTAGCTATTTCAATCTATAAATTATTTATTTTTT